CACGCACGCACACGCACACGCACACGCACACGCACCGCACACGCACACGCCACACGCACGCACGCACGCACGCACACGCACGCACGCACACGCACACACACGCGCACACGCACGCGCACACACGCACACGCACACGCACACGCACACGCACACGCACACGCACACACGCACACGCACACGGCACACGCACACGCCACACGCACGCACGCGCACACGCAACACGCCACACACGCACACGCACAAACGCACACGCACGCGCACTCGCCCACGCCCACGCCCACGCCCACGCCCACGCCCACGCCCACGCCCACGCCCACGCCCACGCCCACGCCCACGCCCACGCCCACGCCCATGCCCACGCCCACGCCCCCGCGCCCGCTCCCGCGCCCGCGCCCGCGCCCGCGCCCGCGCCCGCGCCCACGCCCACATACACGCCCACGCCCACGCCCACACCCACGCCCACGCCCACGCCCACGCCGCGCGTGCGCACCCGCACGCGCACGCGCACGCGCACGCGCACGCACGCACGCCCGCACGCCCGCACACCCGCACACGCGCACACGCGCACACGCACACACGCGCACACACGCGCACACGCGCACACGCACAGACGCACACATGCACACACGCACACACGCACACACGCACACACGCACACACGCACACACACGGACACGCACACGCACACGCACACCCGTGCGCGGCGACCGCTGGCTTCCCAATGGGAGGCCACCCACCGCGAGGAGCACGCTTGGGGGCTGGGCCCTGGCAGGAGTTCGTCGGCTTCGGCCTTCTCTCATAACATCACGGCGGGGATGGCGCTGGCCAGGAAGCAGGACGTCATCACATTGATGGTAGACCTGCTCAAGTGCTTTGAGATGGTTGCTCCTGCGGTTCCCGCTCGCGAGGCCAACGGGGTGGGACCCCCCCCCCGCGCCTCGTATGGCTCGTGGTGCAGCTGTACCGCCAGCCCCGAGTCGTGCGCGCACACGGAAGCGAATCCGAGTTCTTCGTATCGTGTTACATCGTGGCAGGATGCTCCCAGGCAGCCGCACCCCTAGCAGTGCTGGTGCACCGTGCGATGCTGCGCCTCAGCGCAGTGTGCCCGACGCTCCAGCCAAGACAGCTCCTGGGCGACGTGTCGCTGCAGTGGACTGGCCGAGCCAAGCGCGGCAAGCAGGAGTTCGGCGAGGGTATCGACCTGCTCACCTGGGGGCTAGAGGGCCTCAAGCTGCCCATCCAGGGCAAGAAGCTCGGCTACGCGGCCTCCTCCAGCCGCGCCTCGGGCGCGTTCAGCGCGGCGGCGCGCGCCGTGCACGTCGCGGGCTTGCCTTGGATCCGCAACTTTGGCCGCGAGCTGGCAGGGCCCGAGGTGCGGCGGCGACGAGAGGACGCCAGGCTGGCAGGCCTTCAAAGTCGAGCTCGGCGCTCCATGATCCTTAAGAAGGCCGTCGGGGCCAAGCGCGTGGCGCGCAGCCAGACGGCTGGCCTCGCTCCGTCTGCCACTCGCGGGGCCTCAGTCAGCGGAGTCGCCGACGACGTGCTGGGGCTGATCCGCTCAATCGCGGCGGCGCTGACGGGGGTGCGCCCCGCAGGCAGCAACTTCGGGGGGCCGCGTGTCGAACGATCGAAGAGGTCGCGTGCCTGGGGTGTCGACGCGCTCTGCTCCCGCGGCCAGGCCCCCGCGGAGCGCCGCCGCGGCGGCGGTCCCCGGGGCGCGGGCGTGCGAGGCCCGCGAGGAGGCCCGGGATCGGCGGACAGCGAGCGACCCGCGCCACCGGGAGGCCGCGGCCGCTCGAGGCCGAGCGGTCCGCGCGGCGTCGGAGCCCCGGCCGCGCCGAGCGGTGCCCAGCTCGCCTCGAGGGGGTCGGCTCAGTCCGATATCTTACCAGCCTGGAACATATCCCTATCCCTATGCTGTGGGCACCTCGTCATCACGATGCCAGTCTTAGGGATTCCTTTTTTTTGAGGGCGAATCCCTAAGATTGTCATCGCTTTTTGGCGTGTCAACCTTAGGGATAGGGAGACGTTCGAGGCTGGTAAATATCGCTCTGGGCCAGGTCGATGCGACGCGGAGCCGACGTGCCGACTGTCCGACGGGGCCTGCTGCTTGTATGGTGTTGTGGTGTATCCTGGCGCGGCCGGTGCGATTCGGTGTCGACTCCGAGCCGATGCAGGCCGACGGGATGCTCCGATCCGAGCCGAGCCAGTGCCCCGATCGGGTGCTGGTCGATCTTGCCCTGGCTCCTCGCTGCGTTGGCGTGTGGCGGTGCCGGTGTGCTGTGCTCCACGCTTTTTACACTGGGGCCCCCGGGAGTCCGAGCTGCGTTTTGACGGCCCCGGCGCCTGGTGACCGGCACCACCCAGACCTGCTTACAGTGCCCTTTTGAATACATGCTCCGCAGGCGGATCATGTATTAAAATGCAGGACTTCAATACCAAAAACAACGATGAGTTCGTGCATAAATTTATTCATAAATTCACTATGCATTACAAATCCTATATTGTTTAAAATCCCATGTGTTAAAAACTGCCCTGTATACTGTGTGTGTGCGTCGGCCCCGCAAAGGCGGCGCGCACGCTCAGAAGTCATGCATTGCAGGCTCCGTGGTGGGCGCTGTCCAGCCACACCGTTCGGGAAACGACGTGCCATTGAGATTTGTTTACTATTATTAGGTCGGGCCTGTCCCCCTACAGGGGGATTTTCGACGAAAAATAAAAAAATGCCCCAAAAACAGTCAAACAAATAGTCCAAACATAGTCTGGGGACAATTTTTTGAGTATTATTTGACCTTCTTGAAGTACTGTTGGGGCATTTTTTATTTTTCGTCGAAAATCCCCCTGTAGGGGGACACGCCCGACATGATACTAGTATGTTTCGTCCACCTCTGAGTGGCCTCTCCTTCCCCCTCCGCGGCCGCCTTGTCTGTCCTCTGCCCGCTCCTGCTCGCTGGCCGGTCCGCTTCTCGCGGTGCCCCCGCTCAGCTCTGGTGCCGGTGCAGCAACTCTGCCTCGCCGCCGACGGGAACAAAAGCAAGTGTTCTGCATGTTCGCGCTGGCCGTGCACCCCCAGCAAAAACACAGAATGCAGGAGGGGAAAAAACACACAGACACAATTCATCGTCGGTCCCCCAGAAAATATGGGAAAAGATGTGAAGTGGGGGGGAAGACGAAAACCAAGAAAATATGGGAAAATATAGGGAATCCTTTTATTTGTCTGTATTAATTTGTGTGTCCCAGGGTCCCTTCAAGAATGCCAGAATGCCTCTGTGCGTCCCGCCGGAGGCCGAACATGGGCCCAGCGCCTCCCGCCGTTTTTTGGTCGCGACGGGGGGTCCAAGCGGCCAGCCGCCGCCTGGTCTTGCCAGCCTGCGGCAGTGCCCCGCTCAGCCCCTTGCCTCTCGGTGCGGGCTTGAAGGCTTGCCCAGGCTTTTCGGGGCACGGTTGGGAACTTCTGGCTGGCGCGTCGCTCCGCCAGTTCCGGCCCGCCACGCTTCGGCGCGACACGCTGTCCGCTTCCCCATCCCCAAGTGTCAAGGGCGCACTACCCCCGAGTCTGTCGTATCGCCTCGGGCTTGTAGACCTCAGGGCCAGTCGGCGGCGCCCTAAGGGGGGGAGGCAGAGGGGAGGGGCGGGTCTTCTGAGCAGGCTCGCTTTCTGAGCCCTCTCCGAAGCCACGGGCGGTGGACTCTCTTCGCGCTGCGCCTTCGAGACGGGGCGGGCTCGGGGCCGGCCGGGGCCCCGGAGGGGGAGGAGGAGGAGGAGGAGGAGGAGGAGGGAGAGGAGGAGGAGGAGGAGGAGGAGGAGGAGGAGGAGGAGGAGGAGGGAGGGAGGAGGAGGGAGGAGGAGGAGAGGAGAGGAGGGAGGAGGAGGAGGAGGAGGAGGAAGGAAGAGAACGAGTAGGAGGAGGAAGAGGAGGAGGAGGAGGAGGACGAGGAGGAGGAGGAGAAGGAGGACGAGGGAGGAGGAGAAGGAGGAGGAGGGAAGAGGAGGAGGAGGAGGCGGAAGAGGAGAGGAGGGGAGGAGGAGAGGGGTAGGAGGAGGAGGAGGAGGAAGGAGAGGAGGAGGAGAGAGGACGAGGAGGACGACGAAGACAAGTTCCTGATCGATAGGGCTAGGAGTGGGGGGAGGAAGCGGAGGAGGGAGAGCAGGAGGAGGAGTGAGGAGGAGGACGGAGGAGAGGAGGAGGAGGAGGAGGAGGACGAGGAGGACGAGAAGGAGGAGGAGGACGAGGAGGACGAGGACGAGGACGAGGAGGAGGAGGAGGATGATGAGGAGGAGGAGGAGGAGCAGGAGGAGGACGATGAGGAGGAGGAGGAGGAGGAGGAGGAGGAGGAGGAGGAGGAGGAGGAGGTCCTGGCCCCCCCCCCCCAGGCCTGGTGGCACGCCAGCGTCGCCGCCTCGGCGAGCGCGGGCGTCGCGGAGGCCTCGGCCGCCGTGGGCGCCGGCTGAGGGCGGAGCGGGCCGTGGCCGGGCGCTCTTCTCGGAGGCGGCGACGGGGGCGAGTAAGTCAGAGGCGACAACAGGGGCGAATAGCCCACGGGAGAGCAATACATGTATTCAGGTGCGCCGATGATCTATGTCTTCGACAAGGCTCCCGGGCGAATACGTGTAATGCCCGCCCCTGGGCTATTCGCCCTTATCGTCGCCGCCACCAGACCAGTTTCTAAGAACCTCTTGTGGTTTCCACGGAATGTTCCTAGGACATTTCTGGCTCGGGCTGTGGTTTTTTAGCATCACACATCGGGTGCATGTCCTAAGGACATGGTTTTTGTTCCGAGAACATGTTTGGGTTCTAAGATCATTTCGTGGTAGCACTATAGGAATGCCGGGACGGTCGGTCCCTGCTCAAGACAGGGGCGAGTAAGGGCGAATATCGCGAGCGGCGGGCGTAGCCATCTCCGCGCCCTCGCGGCCTGGACTGGGGCGCGATGCCGCGGCTGCGCTTGTGAAAGTCGATTAATGGAGAGGAAGCATGCTGCCAAATCATTGCCAGAGGTCTGAAACATGTTTGAAACATGTTTTACACATTTTCAGCACATCTTTAATTCAATGATAGGACTGGTAGGGTGTCCGTGGTCATGGCATCCACAAGGCTACGCGGTAGCACGGATACGTGCCGCACGGGGGATCCGCGAACCAACGCCCCGTGCACGCGGGGTCGCGGCCCAGGGGCCCAGCCCGCAAGGCCGCGGGTGCGGATCTGCTTTGCGCTCGCCAGAGTAGCCCAGGGGCCGAGGTTGCAGGTGTAGCCTCGAGGATCGAGGCTTTGAGCTTGTAGAGGTCTCGGGGGCCGGGGAGGTGTGGGCTCGAGGGTCGATCTTGCGAGCCTGCGAGGGCCTCGAGGCCTCGGGGACCCAGGTGCAGGCTCGACGATTGGGCTTTCGAGCCTGTGATCGAGGTCCCAAGGCCTCGGGGATCGAGGAGGTATAGTGAGGAGACGCCGAAGAGAGGACCACGTTGGGCTCGGGAGGGGCTTTGGGGTTTGGTGTCCGGGCCGCTCCTGAGACCTGGGTCGGGGGGCCTCCTGGTGGCCGAGTCACCGCCGTGGCCAGGACCCTCCCCTTTTCCCTTCTGCAGCGTGCAGCGCTCCTGATGCTAGCACGATGGCTTGTGGCCCAGGGCGGGGATTGCATGTGCTCGCCGGGGAGCCGCGTCGAAGGCATGGACTACCGGCGCCCCCAGATGCACGTGCTGCCGCATTGGCCCCCCTGTGATATTCGCTCCTCTCGTCGCCTCTCGTCGCCCCGGAGAGGCTGGCGGGATGAGGGGCTGCCTGCCCGCCTCCCCGGCTCGGCTGCACGCATATCGGCAGGGGGCCGGGCGAGACCACGGCGGCGTGTCGTCCTTTCTGGGCGCCCTGCAGGCCTCTCGTCGCTACGCCCAGCGTCCGCCTCGGGGCCACGGCTCAGGAGGGGCCCCGGGAGGTGCCCGGGGACCGATCGCGAGCGGGCTTGGCCTGGGCGGTGGAGCCGCCGTGGCCTCAGCTGGCCTTCCGCTGAACGCAGGAGCGGCCTCTCGCCGGAGCGGTCGCTGGTGCGGGCCCCTTGGGGGCCCCCCGATTCAGAGCGTGGATTACCTGCCCCGCTTTCGCTTCCGGGAAAGACCAAGTCATACCACGCGCCTCCTCGTCAAGCGATCTGACCAGTACAGGCCGTAGTTTGGCATCGCTTGGTATCTCTTGGATGCGAGGGTGGTCAAAAGCGAGGTAGGTTTGTTTGCCCCCTGCCGATTGCCGAGTCCAGCGCCGCAGCAGCGGCTTGCGCGTCGGGGTCTGCCCCTCCGCCTCCCCCCCTGTGCCCCGGCGCTCTCCTCGGGCCGCGCACCAACCGGGGCTGCGCAGTTACAGTCGGGGCGCTGAAGAAGGAACCCTTTTCGTTGAGGAGGGGCTCCGTGTTCCTTGGTTGTTTTATAGCTTGCCTTAGGTTTCCCATCGATTTTCGATGGGAAATCGAAGTTCAACTTATGGAAAAAAGGGGCCTCGTTCCTTCTTTAGGGTTCCTTAAGTCAACGCCCCGACTGTAGTTTGAGAGGGGATTCCCCCAGGGTGGGGTCAGGGAACGAACCAACCTGGGTGCTCGCAGCTCCTTCTTCCGGAGCCGCTCAGAGCGGTCGTCCTCCCGAGCCAGCTGGGAGGCCGAGAGGTTGGCGCCGCAGCCGGTATGTGCGGCTGCCTGCCTCCACCGAGGGAGGCTGGCTCCGAGCTCGGCGATGGTGTGGTGATGCATGTGACTCCAGATCTTCCAGATCGGAGGGGGGAGAAGCGACACCAACACCACCAGAGGGGGCCACCTCCGGCGAGGAGGTCCACGATGCCTCCCCGAGCCGGAGGCTGTGGAGGTCTCGAGCGAGAGGGGGGGCCACACCACCAGGGAGACCTCCCTCTCTCCTCGCGCCTCCTCGCCCTGTTGGTGGTGGTGTCGCCTTGCCTTGTCCCTATCCAGAAGGGCCCCCAGGGGAAGAGGCTTCTGAGGCGGGCGGTGCCGAGTTCTCAAGTCCACTCCGCTCCGCCCACGAGGTCGACCCGCGCGCGGCGCCTCCGCTCGCCCTCCTCGAAGTGTCGGAGGCGGCCGAGAGATTACCGCCACCACCAGAGGGGCCCGGGTGAGCCCCACGACGGCCGCGGAGTCACCGGATATCTCCTCCTCCTCCTCCTCTTCCTCCTCCTCCTCCTCCTCCTCCTCCTCCTCCTCCTCCTCCTCCTCCCCCTCCCCCCCCGGATATCTCCCGAATGACTTTCCCCCAAAACACGCTCAGAAGCAGTGCGTCGGGCGATTGGCAAACTACCCCGAGCGCTGCGCAAACGACGCCAAGCTACTTTAGTCTGGATCACCAGGAAGAATTTCGAGCACACCAAAAAAGCCGAGACTCCAGGGTTTTCACGCGTCGGGCCCTGGGAGACGCTCGTCTGGCACTGTTTCGACACTCTTTCGACACTCTTTCCACACTTTTCCGGGGTGCTCGAACTTATTTCTAGGATGTGGTCCTTAAGTGCGATGGGAACAACAGCCAGGATCCAGGATCGCCTTCCCCCAGGGAGCCCCCCCCTGTGCATGGGCGGGAAACACGCCCATATCCACGGCCTTGCGGGCTGGGCCCCTAGGCCGCGACCCCGCGGATATCTCGCGGGGCGCCTTTTGGCGTGGAAGGCATCCGTGCGACCGCGCATCCGCGGGACCGCGCCCTGGAGCCCAGACTGCGAGGGCGCGAGTACGGACCTGCTCGTCGCTCGTGACCCGTGCGGGTGCGAGTGCCCGAGGCCGCTGTTGTCGGTCCTTCGTGGGAGCCCTGGAGGGTCCCGGCAGCTCCTCGCGGTCTGGGCAGTCTCGTCGGAGTCTCGTCGGCTCTGTTCAACAATGTTTGGACGAGCCCTGGACGAAAGGGGGGGCAGAGGGGTGGTCCAAAGCTGCCAAGGGCGCGAACTCCAGTCGAACTCACGTCGATGCTGGGGCTGCGGAGGTCCACCACCACCCACCAAACCACCCCAACCCAACCCGAAGTCTCAGATTTACCCTCGATTTCTAGTGGGGGGGGGTCGGGAAACACAGAAAAAACACGCGTGGAACCGTTACCCTCCCCAACCCGAAATTCGGGTCTTCGGGTTGGGTTGGGGTGGTCTGGTAGGTAGTCAGTCCACAGAGGCCCCCACGGAAGGCGCACCCGACCGCTCCTCTTCCCGCACAGGCCGCTCCTGCCCGCGCGGCCGACCCGAGCGCGCGGCCCGCGGAGCCTCTCTGTGCTCGGCGGCGGCGCCCGCCGCCGCGCGCGGAGCCCCGAGCTGTCCGACGACCTGGCCCTCTCAGTTCGGGGAAGCGTAAGTCAGAGCGTGAATTACCTACCCGGCTTTCGCTTCCAGGAAAATCCAAGTCATACCACGCGCCTCCTCGTCGAGCGACCTGACCAGTACAGGCCGTAGTTTGGCATCGCTTGGTATCTCTTGGAAGCGAGGGTGGTCAAAAGCGAGGTAGGTTTGTTTGCCCCCTAGTAAGACTCGCCGTCATCCTCAGCATCATGACTGACCCTCCCCGGGAAAATCCATTTCTTATCCCCGCCAGAACCTCGCACTGTATGTATGACCCTCGGAGGATGATTATCGCCAGGTTTCGGTCATCCTACATCCTCCGCGGTGGATCCAGGCCATATTCGGAGGAACGTAAGACTCGAGTAATCCGGAACTCGGGTTCGCCGACGTTTTTTGACGAGCGCGTCCTGGGTTTTGGCGGTCCAGTTGCCGTGGGACGTTTGCAGCGGGAGGTCGCGTCACATTGCAGATCGGGCCTCGTCATTTTATGATGGCCCCGTCAGGTCAACCCGAGTCCCCCGTACCCGAATCTTACGTCTTCACGACCAGTGCGCGGCCCCGACCCCTCAGGGTCCATTCCCAGTCATGCTCGCGTCGTGAACAAAAAACACGACGGGAGGATTTTGGCCGTCTTCGGCTTCCCCAGGCCCTCGCCGGGCCCCTGGGCCGTCAGACATCTCATTACTCCCCGTATTGAAAACTTCCAGACGTCGCATGTCTGGGTTTCGAGCCGATCGGTCCGATTCGATATCGATCTTGGTTTCGGCCGGCCCGATCCGATTCGATCCCGATGCGCCGACGATCCGATGTGGGCCGATGCTAATTCGCAGGGCGCTGCTGTGCATCCTGGCGCGACCGATCCGTTTCGATTCCGATTCCGTACCGATGCGGCCCAATCCGATGCAGACTCCGATCCGATCCGATCTTCCGACACGATGCTGGCTGATCTCGCCCTCTCCCCAGAGTGCCAGGCTTTCGTTCCGGCATCCGCTGGCACCATGTGTGCGATCCATGGCCGTGGAGGTCCCGGCCCCTTCCTCGGGGGGCCAGGCTTTCGCCCCGGATGCCTTTGGGAACGGCCCCCCCCCCCCCCGAGTGGGGGGCCGCGTGCGAACCCTACCCCTACCTCCCACGACTTCTGAGGGGGGTAGGGGTGGGGTTCACTTCGCTCGGGAGCTCCCGAGCGAAGTGAACCCCACCCTCCCCCTCAGAAGTCGTGGGGGGTAGGTTCGAGGCCCGAAAACCATCACGTCACTAATTTTGGGCCCCAGGGCCCACTGAGGCCCCAGGGGCCCCTCATCAGTGAAGTGATGCTTGTTCCCACGCGAGGACCCCGAACTTCATCACTTCACTAAACCGAACCCAGGACGAAAGTCAGGGGCCGAATTGCTGCTGTGAGGCAACATAGGTCTCGTGGTAGGGGTAGGGTTCGCACGCGGCCCCCTGCGGAGGCCCAAGCCGGGCAGAGGGCGCTGGTCGGAATCGTACCTCGTCGGAGAGCCGGGCAGCGCGCGGCGGGCGGAGCGTGGGCTCGGCGGGGGAGCCCGCTGCGCGCGCGGAGGGGGGGGCACTGGCGCAGTGGACCCGCATGCGGGGCCGGGCGGTCCCTGCAGCGGCCATGGGCTCTTGTCAGGGAGCTGGGGGAGGAGGAGGAGGAGGAGGAGGAGGAGGAGGAGGAGGAGGAGGAGGAGGAGGAGGAGGGGGAGGAGGAGGAGGAGGGGGAGGACGAGGAGGAGGAGGAGGGGGGGGGGGAGGGGGAGGAGGGGTCAGGAGGGGTCAGGAGCAGCGTTGGGGGGGACTTTTTCAAAGGGTGCGGTTTTCTGACGCTCTCGTCGGTTCTCGGCGGCTTTCCAGCCTCGGGATGCTCTTCTTCAGCGGCTGCGCCTCGTCGACCGCGTTCGCGGGGTGCCCAGATCGTCCCGAAGGGCCGCCAGGGAACCGAGTTTTAAGTCGGGCATGTCCCTCTACAGGAGGAACATTCCAGAATAGTAGAAACATAGTCTGGGGACGATCTGAACATGTGTTGTTCCAAAATCCGCCTGTAGGAGGGCATGGCCGACCTCAGCCGAGTTATGACCCGAAAACCTGGGGGCCACGGTTGGGGGAGGTGTCGGGGCTCAAGAGACGGGGGTCAGTGCAAACGGGGGTCAGCCCGGGCACCAGATCCTGCAGGATCCTGCGAAGACCCCCTCTGGCTGACCCTGGTCAGCGAGCCGCTCGTGGCCGCGGGGCGGCCGCGCCTAATTATTGGCTGACTTCGGGTTTGCGAAGACCTGCGTTGCAGCTTTTTTTTTTTTTTTTCCTGCACTGCAGTTTTTTGGTGTCCTGCTGACCCGGGTCTGGACTGACCCTCCTCCTCCTCCTCCTCCTCCTCCTCCTCCCCCTCCTCCTCCCCCTCCTCTTCCTCCTCCTCCTCCTCCGCTCGGGGGGACGCATCGGCCCCCTAAGCGCCCACTCAGCACCGGCAGGGGCCCCGCAGCCCCCCCCCGCCCCCGGAGGGTGCGGTTTTGCGCCGCGCGTGAAGTGGTGTCTTGGTCTTCTCCCCACCCCGCGGCGTCGTGCCCGCGCCGCCTCGCCTCACCACGTCGCTCCTCCTTACCCCCCCTCACCACTTCCTCCTCCTCCACGCTCGTACACGCATCAGGCATACGCACACAAGACATGCTCACAGATGCTTCGCACAGACTTGGCCGCGCCCTCGCAGCAGAGGCAGGCGCAGCACGATACAATAACCACACGGCGCCCACATGACGCGCAAGTGCACATACGGCCGTACGCATTTCATACACATGCACAAGACACGCAGACGCAGACCTAGTCACTCACATTACACGCACACCGCACAACACATACGCGTAGGACTTGCAGGGCGTGCCAGGCTGGGCACTTTCTCGATGCCAGAGGGGTTGCGCAAGGGGGTGGGGGCGCTATCCGCTTCGGGCTCGCAAAGTGGCAGGCGTGGCACTTCCTCGACGCCACAAGGGGGTGCGCTAGGGGTGGGAGACCTATCCGTTTCGGGTGCTAAAAGCGTGGCCGGCGTGGCACTTTCTTGACATCGCACGGGGTGTACTGGGAGTGGGGGCGCTATCCGTTTCGGGTTCGCAAAGCGTGGAAAGCGTGGCGCTTCTTTGACACCACAGGGAGGGCGGCGCTATCCTCGCCAACCGTCGCAGGCGTGGGACTTCCTCGACACCACAGGGGGTGTGCTGGGGAGGGGGGCGCTATTCGTTTCGGGCTCGCAGGGCGTGGCAGAGGAGAGGAGAGGAGAGGGGATGCATAGGCGGAGAGGAAAAAGAGGCGTGGCACTTTCCACCCACGTCGCAGCCGCGTTCACCCTGCCCCCCCCCCCGGACTTCGAGGTCGTGATTCTAATGCGCAGCCCCTGGAGCTCTCAACCCTTTCCCGGGTACCCTTAGGTCGGGCCTGTCCCCCTACAGGGGGATTTTCGATGAAACATAAACAAATGCACCCAAAGTAGTCCCAAAATAATCAAAAAATGTTCTCGGGACTATTTTTTGATGATTGTTTGACCCTTTTGGGGTATTTTTGGGGTATTTTTCGTTTTTCTTCGAAAATCCCCCTGTAGGGGGACAAGCCCCACTTAAGGGTACCCGGTTCAGGCTCCCAGGGCGTGGCAGGCGCGGCACCTCCTTGACGCCAGAGGGCTGCGCGTGGCGTGGATGTTGCGCTGGCGGGAGCTCGCGCGCCTCAGCCGTCTTGGGACGTCGGAGGGCCTTTGAGGCAGTCATGTGCTGCACGGGGGACCCTCGTGGGCCGTCTTGATACCCCTTGGGGTCATCGTGGGGTCCTCTCGAGCCATTTCGGGACTCTCTTGGGGGCCTTTGGGCCGTCTTGGAGTCATCTTGAGGGCTTCCTTGGCCGCCTTGGGCTGACGGAAGTCCGAGAAGGTGAGCTTGCGAACATCCTCCAACAACCTGTGTGGAATCACTGATCTTAGCTTCTTCGGACCCTGCTTGGGGTCCTCTTGTGTTATTGTTGTTTAATATTTTCGAGGCATCTTACGAGGCCGTGTTGAAGCCATAGTTGGCCGACATCTTGTGCTGGCTTCGAGGCATCTTGGGCTATCTTTTTTGCTTTGCTTTCCTGCCTGGGCCGTCTTGGAAGCTCGGGACGCGATCACTGCTTTTTACGAGGGATCGTGGACGCGGGAGCGCGGATCCATCGTTAGTGTTACGAGGGCTCGTGGCCTCGGGAGGAGGGGTATGAAATACCCACGCAGCACCTAAAACAGGTATGGTGGGTTCTCCGGCAGCGTAATGCTATCGGAGGCCCATCGCCGATCTATCGGCGATGTGTCGCCGATTCCAGGTCGATATTTTCCCCCTACCGCTGCCGATCGCTGCCCCTGCCCCTCCTTTTCTTCCTCCTCCTCCTCCTCCTCCTCCTCCTCCTCCTCCTTGTGTGTCGTCAGTCAGGTGTGCACTGGCTCCGATTCTGTGCAATGCCGCCGAGAACGCGCAGAGGGCTGGCAGAGTCTGGCGAAGCCAGGCTCGGTCGAAGCTGTCTCTGGGCGTGCCATCCCGAGCCACGGCGGCGCTGGCCAGCGCGGCATTCCCGCTCCCGCAGCAGGCGCGGCCTGCACGCAGGTGGCGGCAGGATGCCGTCGCGCAGGCTTGCCGCTGAGCGTTATGGAGGCCGCGGCCTGCAGCAGCACTGGTCTCGGCCGGTGCGGCGCTCTTGCCCCGACAGTAGGCACTAGGCACGCCCAGCACGCGGCTGGCTGTAGGATGGGGCCAACAGCGGCTTCGGCGCAGGCTTCCAAGAAGAGGCACCCTCGACCTGTAGCATGCGTCGCACGACAATGCAGGTTGCGCGCGCCCTGTGCAGATACCCTGAGTGGTGACGCAGGCTCGTGCGTTGGACTCTTCTGACTCGGGCACTGCACTGTAGGCACCAAGTGTGCAATCAAGACGCTGAAAGAACCGCTTTGGGCGCAGCAGGGTCTGGTTTTCGGGCCGTTCCCGCAGATCCAGGTCGAGGAACCTATAATCGTGGCCGAGGTTGGGCCCTGGCCAGGAAAGCCCCTTCGTTCCTCCTTGTTCGTCGGCCCCTCTGGCAGCACGAGGACGGGCGCGAAGGCGAGCGCGCCTCGCGCCTCGCGGCCTGGGCCCGGGGGGTCGGCGCCAGGGCACGAAGGCACCTGACCGCGTGGCGCGCGCCGCGGGGCGCGAGGTGCGAAGGTGGGCAACCCCGTGCACCAGGGCCGGACCTAAACGGTGTTTCTGGTGACTTCGTGGGCCGTTCTCCTTTCGACTCCGTTTTGCGGCGAAGGCGGATGCGAGCCGAGAGCGAAGGACAACGAAGACAACACGAAAACAAAGAACACCGCTCAGGTGCAACGAAAACCAGAACGAGAACGAAAAGCAAAACGAAACCGAAAAAGAAAAACGAAAACGAGAACGAAAAGCGAAGGTGGGCAACCCCGTGCCGCACCACCCATGCGGACCGGGCACCTGAGACCGGGCACGGCGCCCGGCCTGCAGGCACGACGGCGCGGTGCCGGGGCGCCAGGCGTGGCACCGGGCACGGCTCCCGGTACCAGGCATGGTTCAGGAGGGAAAGAAACACACAGACACAATTGATCGTCGATTCCCAAGACAAGATGGGAAACTACGGGAAGCGGGGGGGAAGGCGAAAGCACCAAGAATATCGGAATATGGGACATCTTTTTATTTGTCTGCATTTATTTGTCTATCCTTGGGCCCCTTGGCACGGCACGCGCCAGGCATGGCCGATGCAATTTTTCCACGCCAGGGGCCTTCGCTTAGTTTCGGGCCCTGGGGCCATCACAGATCGGTCCGGCTCGAAAAGTGCCGCAGAAAGACACGATGGGGTCTCTGTCCCCAGTCGTGATTTCATGCGATGTTGCAGTCATTCCGCAACGCCAGATGTCGGATCTCAGGGCAGGCATGGCAGCAGGCACGGCCCTGGGCACAGCACCCTTCAGTCTCTCGGCACGGCGCGGGGCATCAGGCACCAAGGCACTGCCGAGGCACTGCCCGCTGGGCATGGCGCGGGCCATCGAGCGCAGCTTCAGGCACCTCCGAGGCGCAATTTCTGGAGCCCCGTCCCTGGATGCAGACTGTTCAAAGCACTGTAAGGAGCTACAGCTGTGGTTGTTTTTGTTATGGCAGGGGAAAGAGGGCAGCTCATTCTGTCGAGGCAGGGGAGTATATGGTTGTGCATTTTCGGTGGCACTGCATGTGCAGCGTAAGCGGTCTACGTGTTGATGCTACTGTTGTCGTGGACACTACGTCTGCGCCTGTTGCCGCTTCGATCGTATGAGACCGTAAGCATGCCAGAAGGTGTCATGCTTGGGCCAAGTCTTCGTTCTGTTAGCGAACTGGATGCCCAAATTTCGAACTATACTTGAGCGTTCATGTGTTGAGCAGCCCGCGTGTTTGCGCTTTTCATATCAATGCGTGTTGTTTGTTTGGTGTTGTTGCTTTGTTTCTATGTGTTGTAATTTCTCTAAGCACCACTAGTCAAACTGAACGGGCCCAGTTTCTTAATTTGACAGCTTCGATGCTATAGTAAGCGATCCGGAAGCACGGTTCCCGCTCAATGGGGTCGGTGCTCAGGCTTCACAGTACCGCGGTGAATACAGTTCCA